CGTAGAACTGAATATAATTGCTGGGTACCCAGTACTGAAACCAGCTGCTGGTCGCAGTGTACTGATATACAGAGTCCCGCATATGGGACCATTAATTTACTGGTATGGGAAAAATATAGAAGGACGCATTAAAGCCCCTTATCAAAATGTTTGCTAGGCAGCTTGTACTGTAAACTGCCCATAGATCATTAACAATTTTGCTCATTATATTGAGCGGCCTTATGCTGGCTCATGATATGCTGGCCAGAATTGGCCAGAACGCAAAATTCCTGTGGAACTTGATGGTCCAGTACCAATAGGAGACTATGGCCATCATCAAAGCCAGTACATTTCTCCGGTACCCAGCAAACATTGAACTAGCGGGAGAAGTCCGGCCTAGTGCAGGCTAGTCTGGGAAAGTGACGATGCCGGGGTATTGGTAATGGGCCGATGATTTTCCTATGCCAAGTAACCATCAGTTAAAAATACGATGATGGCCTTATGATGGTAAGATGTCTGAAACTAATTGAATAATTACGAGATCTGGCCCTTTGCTGGCCTATTTCATGTTCGCTACTCGTCCCCCTGGTGGTAGTTTTGGGAACGTCTACAACAACAATCAGCTGATCAATATTAAATGTGACTAAGATGGCTGACTCTCGTGAGTGGTGATCGCGTACTGGTTTGTTTATGTCGAATTAATGTGGACCTCTCTTTCCCTGGTGGTTATTTATGACGGCAGTAGTATTCTCAATTGATAATGATAGAAGACAGATTCTTCAATTATAATAATATTGTGTAAGTATCAATCTACCTACATAGTGTTTAGAATTTCATCATTAAATGCATGTGTTTGGTATCTCGTAACTTCATACACCTAATGATCATATTAATTGGAGTGGGCTATACTTCTCCAAAAGCAACTATCATTTTAAACTCGTTTGTTGCTATCAAAAGTAATTCCAGGTTATGTGGACCTATATATCTCTTTACTGAATAACAAAAAAATTTCAGCTACAGAAATACCTGTGCCAAGAAAATTATGAGAATTGGAAAGCTCCATATTATCACGTCATCAGACTATATTATCAAGTTATAAACTCATGTAACTCATAGGCCACTAAATAAACAAATGATGCATTTTATATTTCAGAAGTACCTCATAACGAAGAATCGACTTCGAAGAAATGCTACCCAATAAGATGTAGATACCACATACCAACCACTAAGCAGTCACATCGTTGAAGAACAGAGAGGTTAGGAAGATATCATTGTGTCATTCATAAAATTGTTTTCTTGAAATCTGGTATGATCAGAGGGTTATATTGTGAAATAAAAAAGTACTAGAACTTTCAGATCCAATGGACCCCTGAAACCCCTACCCTTCCCCTACCTCGATAGTGTAAGGGTCTTTATTCTGGGGCCTTTACTTTGGCGCTCTGTTCAGGACAGGAGACTACAGACAAGAGCTTAGAGAGTCTGTCCCGAATCCTTGGCTGTCTTCAGTATTTATGCACTACTTTGGCCTTGACACAAGGACAGGTGAATCTGGAATCTCATTGGTCAAAACTCCCACCTTGTCATGGCTCATGGCCATGGCCACTAGATCTGTCCTTGAAAAACACATGTGCACCTCCAACACAAAGCGCGGAAAAAATAATATTACACCCTAAATGGGCACAGGAACAGGATCTACTACCTTTGCTTATGCTACTGAATGAATTTGGCTGGAAAATATTCAATAACAACAAAGTTATGAGCAGTCAAACATCAAGCATTTCAACAGATAGATAATTCAATCAAATTTCATATCATAAGCAAAGGGTTGAAAAATATTGAAGTCTTCAGGGTTGTAATGATGTTCATTAGAGTTTACTATCAGGAAAAGCTTTGTGAAGTCAGGAATCAATGCATTACTCAGCTCTCTCAGGTTTTCAGGTTTCGAGCTTTCGAACAGGTGAAATTCAACTAGAATCAGGCTCCGGTACTTAGATTTTGATCAAAACCAGTCTAGTAATGAAGCTGGTCAAAAACACTTCATTACAATAGTATGTAACCAATGTCGTTAATTGGCCATTACAGTCCCATCATTTATGTATATGCTGGGCTTGCTATGGGAAATTCAATGTGTCGATTATGTCGTACTGACCTTTTGCCGGGGAACTGAATATGTTTGCTGGGAACCCAGCACTGGGACCAGCTGCCGGCCGCAGTGTACTGATATATAGAGTCCCGCATATGGGACCATTTACTGCGCCGCTGATGTTAGGTATGGGAAAAATATATTAGGCCATTGATGCCCCATATCAAAATGTTTGTTGGGTATTCAGTTGAAAAAAAAAAGACGACCGTCAGGGGCTTTGAACCCTGGCCCTTCGCTATCACTTGGTTACAAATCGAACTTATATTCCAACTGAGCTACTACACTTTTACTGAAATGATATGTGTGTACGGAATTTATTTGCGGTTAACTTCAGAAAAGGAATATTCCATCAATAATTATCATCATCATACCAGATATATACAAACGATGAACCAGGATGACACTCGATTCTCCGATTGATTACCGAAATTCTATCGTACCTATTTTGTGAGTCAGATGACTTGCATATTTTTTTATGGCCGAATTTGATGACTTTCATGATGAATGCAGAACGGCAGAATAGCGCAGTGGTTGGGCGCTCAACTAGCACTTAGAACGCCGAAAAGAAGCTAGGTTCTATCCCTGGCAGAACAAAGATCGTTTATTTATAAAACAAAATATAAATTCTGATTTCCGTAGCCTCCACCGGAGATGATTACTCACGATTCGCTGTTGCGTTCCAATTAACAGTGCTGCTCCTAAGGTGACGTATGAAGTTAGTAACAAAGCCTACACAAAACACACATGAGCTAAACGACCTCTCGAAAGGTGGATGGCCCGTTTGGTATGTACATTCATACCAACAGAGTACATTCACTCACTTACTCACCTGATTGAATGCAATGAATAAAAAAAGTAGCAGTAGTATATGCGCACTTGGTTGGTATATGTATATGCACCTACCAACTGGCCATCGACCTTACGAAAGGTCCTCCAGCTCATAAGTGTTCTGAGTAGGCTTTTTTACTAACTTCATACGCCCCCTTAGGAGCAGCAATGTTAATTGAAACGCAACAACGAATCGTGCGGAATCATCACAAGGATACAAAATTTCAATTCAAAACCAGATTTATATATAAAAATTCTTTGCTCTCCTGGGAATTCGAAGCTAGCAACCCTACGAATATATTATATACATATATTACGAATTGACAGTATTGGCGCATTGCCGATTAAATTATAAGCAAACGATTACAATATGCCATACAATGGGCCGACGTTTGACTAGTGCAGCTTGGCTATGGCCAGCAATCTACCGATCTAATATGTCGGGGCTAGAAGGCGACCAGAGATTTGATGTTTCCTGGGCAGCCATGCTAACTTCTTGTAACGATGTTCCGAAAATTTTTCAATTTCTTTACCATTTTCAGATGTTTCGAATAAAACTGAAAAGCTAGAACTGCTTCTGCAGTGTTCATGTGTTTTCCATTATATTTTTTTTTTATAATTTCAATCTAACCTTACCCAAAACACACGCGGCACCTTACGACACAAAAAAAAGAAGACGGTAATCGAGCCAAAGATCGATAGAGAGCAGCTAGAGATAATAGAAAAGTTTTTAGATGCTTTGAAATTTATGCCGTCACCTGGACTACTGCACTTGTGATCTCGAGGACGATGCGGGAATTATAAACAAAGTTCAGCATGACCATTCCTGAAATTCCGAGGAAAAACATTGTATGATATATATTTGGAAGTAGAAGTTGGTTTCTCTGGTAACAAAAGAGGGGCAGAAGTCTCGTTGTGTTATGTTATGTTACATATTTTCTTCCTAGGGAGTTTATACCAGCTTCACATTTTCCGCATAGCTCTGCGCTTCCTTTTCGGAACACCCTTCTCTGAAGCGAGTATAAGCTGCATCATACAGATTTCTAGATCTCACTGGAAGCAAGTTAAGAGTCACTGCAGAAGCAGTATCAATAGTATCTTGGGGTGTTCCCTCGATTTTTTGTTCCATAACCGTTACCGATTTTCAAAGCTGTTTTCATCAATTTCAGTTTGATATTTGCTGTCACCATGGGTTGTCAACAAGATGCATGTTGTCAAGATACGAATTTCACAAACTATACTACTACTAATTATCACAAGCTATACTACTACTAATTATCACAAAACACCTTGACCACATTTTCATTCTTTCTCAATTTTTGAGTTTTCGCCAGCGTAAAATATAGTACCTATATACACCTCAGAACAGAATGCTATTTTTTCCTCGGTGCTTTGTATCTCTCGGGCTTTACCATCGAGCTATAATTCGCACCTTGGAAGAAATCTTGCATTCCTGTTCCTTCATGTATCAATGTACTATTGATTTTAATCATCACAAAGGAGTCGTGTCCCAATTGGAAGAATTCTCGAATGTTATACATTATTATTTATCATCCTGGAGTACCTATTTTATTTTGATGCCCTGCATGATTTGCTTCGAACATTAACCAGATGAAATCCTCATAAGAAGCCCCATTGGTATGTCTTCAAATTGAGAAAATTTCACTGACGTCTAGGAATACTTGAATTTTTAGCAACTACAAAAACCGTTTTTTCTTTCATTCATTATACTTGCATTGGTATAGGTACAGATATAAAAATATTCCATTCATAATGCTTATCTGAGCAATATTCAATTACATATTATGAAAGGGCGAGTTGGGGTCGCCTCATGTTTTTTTCCATTGATGGTTTCATTTATTGTATATCTTTAGGTAAATATAGATAATCTACATTCAAATATCAGGGTTCCTTGTCACCTTGTCACCTGTCTTGATACGCCACTGAGAGGGTATACTTACTGGTGATATTTGATTTGGTTCATTATCTCACATAATGAATACAGACAATAAATATCGAGTAAAATTGCATTTAAGAAAATACTGGCCACATGGATTCATTAGTGCCGATTGAAATCAGCTGTTGAACACGCGTGTGTGGTGTTGACTAGAATTTCGAAAATAGATCGCCGTCATTGTTTGTATGTAAAAACCCTTTGTGGATATTTTGTGTTAGTGAGTTTCGTGAGTGTAAATATTTACTACATCCACGCTGATAACGTAAGCCGAGTATATTTTGATTATGGATTATAATTATGAAATATTCAGTGATAGTTTCTGTCTGTCACAAATATCATCGAATTGTTGATATAATATTAAACGGTAGTTTTTCCTGAAGGATTCAATCCGACAGAATTGCCTTGCCATAGTTGTTACACGTATAAATAGTCGATTAAACAGCGATGTGTCTGCACAATCATATAAGTCGATAGGGGTGTAGTGAAATACCGTTCATCTTCCATAATTGAATTTGATAGCACCATTTCAGATGAAGTAACGGGGGTCTTATTTATAGGCTGTTAAAACAGATTCTGGTATAGAGGGCGGATATATTTTACAAAATCACAACTTCCGTCAATTTCTGATATAAAATACTACATATTTTGTTTTGTAATGTGGTACTGTTAGAGACTATCGACAGTGCGAAAGCAACATTGAAGTCATGTGCCTGTTAGACAGTGTCGATCAGATGCGTTCTGGAGTTATTGTAAAGTGAGAGTATCTTTCAACTGTGTGTATGTGAAGCTTATTTTGACTATACAGTCATCACCAGTGAGGACCTGCAAGTAAGTAATCAACTTCCATTGAAAATGACGAAGTGATTTCAAATTATCAATATTTTGAGGAAATAAGTAGAAGTGAGATAACTTGCTCGTCAGGTTGACTAGAAAATTCATCTAGGTACTCATCGATCGACACTTCTGGAGTTCTTTCATTTGCTGAACGAGCTATTCGAATTTCATTCAACATTGGTCGAATCTTCCAGAAGCGATCCAAGAGTCTAGCTTGTTGAGATACAGTATTATCATCGACTCTGAGTCATCGACCACCTTGACACGAGCTCTCAATTGAAAATAACGATTCCGTGAAATATTATCTGCCACAATAGGTACCTACTCTTGTTCTTTTGCCCTAGTATATTTTCTTTTGCAGTAATTCATGAATTACAATGAGCAAGAAACAGGCAATAAACTTACTAATTTCGTGGAGAGAGGTTCCTGATAATTTTTGAGAAACATCCTCATGTTGGAACACAATGCCATTGTTTTGAAAAATTCCGCATCGAGATACCGACTGAAATAATCGAAAGTCTCAAGTAACTTTTCTGCATGATAGTTAATCGATGGTCCACAATCAACCATTGCAGAAATCATTAGTGACTGCGAGTGACCGGTAAATGTTTGATAGTTTCCACTTTCTCTTATCCTGAGGAATGAGAGCTTTTAGTGGATCATCTTCAAATGAATATTCTCCATTACGATCAACATCATCGATAACATTCTCGGGTTCTTGGAATGTCTCAAATATATCTTTATCGTCATCATCATCAATGGAAAGCAAATCTTCATCGATATCTGAGTCATTCAGAACCAAACTATCGGCCAACTCTTGAAGTTTACGTCCAGTTAGAGGCCGTAACGAAGATATGGTCAAAGTATGAATCGATGGATATATGTATATTATATAAAGGAATACATTGAGAATTCGCATTATCTTTGGAATTTTATTGCATTTGAAAGTTATCCTGTTTTTCAAATTATTTTTGGAATAATTGAATCGAACTCCAACCGTTTGTCAGGTTGAAACGGCTTGGCCGATTTGCACAAACGAATCGGTGTTGGATAGATAATCGAGAACAAGGTGCCACGTGACCCCCTTTAAATTTGAAAACAAAAGGTGATGCTACCCTCTTGATACTAGGCCACGTGATCACAACCATTTTTAGGCCAGAAAAAGATATAAGAGATACATTTTCATCTGAATTTTACCCGACCTCGCTAGCTCGTTCCTTTTGAAATTTTGAGGGAGGGGAAAGACTTTTTACGACCTTACTGTTTACTTCCTCAACATGATGTCATGAAACCGATAATTGTTTCACAATTATTGTGCATTTCGAGACAATCTGAGTGCTATAAACTATTTTACCTTGATCCTATTTCTGTAATCAAATACGACCATTCTTATAGATTATCTCATTTTAATTATCTCAATAGCAATTGAATTTCCTAACAAAGATAAGTAACAAGTACTGCTGCATAGATATGAAATCATGACATTTTCGCCTGTTTTTCCTCTATAATGTAAACATTAGGGTGACATTGAGATGAATACGAGGATGAATACCTACACAATGATTTAAAACCCTGAAGACAGCTCGGGAGCATTCCACTATGCTCAATTTCACGATGCACAATTCCCACTGTGCCCAATTCCTACGATGCCCACCTTCATGTCGACGATTACGAAGATTGTCGAAGAGCGCAACGTTGCCAGGTCAAGAAAAAATTCTGAAAACACACTATTCCCACCATGAATACTTTTCATATATTGCCACGTTGCCCAATTCCTACGATGCCCAATTCCCCTCATGCCCACCATGCCCACCTTCTTTGGATTCCCATCACCATGACGAAGGTGGACATGGTGAGAATTGGGCATCGTGAGAATGCATGGAAAGTAGGCATGGGCGAATTGGGCATCGTGGGAATATATGAAAAGTGGGCATGGTAGGAATTGGGCATCGTAGGAATTGGGCATCGTGGAAAACTGTGAGAAGTGGGAATCTATGGTAGTGGGAATCTATGAGAAGTGGGCATGATGAGAATCTTGTGTTTTCTGATTTCTTCTCATAACCTAGCAAATTTATTGCGCATTCTCCATAATCATCGACATGAAGGTGGGCATGATGAGAATTGGACATCGTGGGAATTGGGCATCGTGGGAGTTGGGCATCGCGCTGCGCACCTGAAAGCTCGACGTGTACATATACTATATCGAATTGCACCAATGAAAAACCTAAGGGATCGAATTAAACTTTATGGCCTGACCCCTTTTTCGGAGCAACGGACGATTGAGCGCAGCGATCATGAAATTTGTCAGGTATAGTAGAGAATGAATAGGATAATTTAGCGTGAGTTATCTTCGTTATTACGAGTCAATTGCGCGCGGATTAAACTTGTTGATATTAAGCGCTCGTGAGAAGGGATAATATCTTAGAAAGGAGACTATAACTTTTTCTAAACAATTTTACCTTAATTGGCCTATGAACCTTTCTTTATAGAAAGTATATTTTCTTGCAGAAACTTCTGTTTCTCAACAATTTATTGTTACTCGGCCTTAATAGACCTTCTTTCTATGAAGTATATTTTCAAACACCGATCCGTCGATCGGAGGAGAATATTTTTCCTGAACCATCTAACCTAAATGCTCCTTCTTCGAAGAACTTCTACACGTCCTCCGCGGCGGTTGGGTACTGAAACATAAACAACCGCCGCGGCGGTTACCTATTTTTATATAGAAGACCGCTGTGAAATCTGCCGCGCCGGTTGGATACTGATACATAAATAACCGCCAGCGGTTACCTATGTTTTCAAACAAACTAACCTAACTCGCCTCCACAGGAGTATATGTTCGAAAAATTATTTGTGAGAAAAAGTCAAAAAAAAATTTGGCCTCGCAGGGGTTAAACCCGAGTCACCGCCGTGGTGGTCAAGTACACTGTCAACTCAACTGGGCTATCGCTTTGCTCACGTACGTGCTTTGCTCGGAAGTACTCGCTATGAAGAAGGAAGAAATATCGTCGCGGCGTTTGTTTATGTATCAGTATCCAACCGCCGCGGCGGTCGTGTATGAATCAGTATCCAACCGCCGCAGCGGACGTTTATGAATCACTATCCAACCGCCACAGCAGTCGTGTAGACAGTATCAGCTAATCACTTCAGTACAAAATGACATGAAAAGCCGACCCTGGCTTGGATTGTATCCAATCTTGTCTGCGCTCAATCGCCACGTACTTTTTGGGTTCATTTTGTAACAGGTAATGGTAATGACGTACAGCCTTTTTCCACCCAAAATTCTACATTGTAGCAATAATTCTGACATCTGTACAATTATCCAGGTGGGAGGCACAAATACGCGTAGCCCAGGAGCCAGCGACATTTGTCAATTTCCTAATTGAAAAAGCTTTTGATCCATTTTTACATCTGTTGTAATAATATAGACTAGCAACAAAATACACTCCTGCCACCTCAATCGCGGGACAACGCTTATCGGCATCTAATCAATGTTGTTGAAGAAGTCGAGTAATTGTCGAACATGATAAAAGTTAAAACGTCACCAATCATAATCGTTTGATGAAAAAAAAATCACCTCCTGCCACCTATTTATTAGAGCGATTTACCTACTCCTGCCATGGACCAAATTATGTGCAGAATGATGTGTCCCAGAATAACGTACCATAAATACTATAGAGTGAACTACAGACCTGAATTGGTCGATCGAAACCAACTCACCTCCATTTCAAAATTCTTTAATGGTAGTCACTGCTCTAAAATTCGTAGAGCAATGTACTATCGTGAATGTAAATATACAGGGAGATCGGTATTTCCGTATGCTTACTGTGATATACACGTTTGGCAAAATAAATCTTCTCATGTGGAAACCATATATTCAAGTGAATACGCATGGTCCTCTATGCCGCATAGAGATTCACGAGTATCTGATAGAGAGAATGACAAAGCAATACTGCCAAACCTTGCCTTCCATCTTCGTATTGTGCAATCGTACGCCATGCGTACGCTTAGTCGCATGTTTGTCGCACAGCTACACATGAATTGGCAACGTCGCTTATGACGATTTCTCTCTTCCAGATACCCATGGATACCTACTCTATGCGTATATTTATTCCAATAGATGGTTTCCATATGAAGAGATTTATTTAGCCAGGTATATAAGATTTCACAAAAACCTGGAATATATGCTTTTGATAACTATTATTGAATGGGATAATAGAATAGACAATAGTGATAACATCATGAGTACAGATTGTATAGAATGATTAACAAATATACGCATATTTGAACAGATTAACAGATATCACAATTTTGGTATACCTATTTGTTATAACAATCATGTACTTATAGCTATTAACGATACGAGCAGAAGGCGAGTGTCATAAATCGTTGCAAGTACCCATAAACTATACCTTTTTTACGGCCAGA